GACCCCATTTGCAAACCAAATGTGTAATGCTCTTGAGTCAAACCTTCCTCTGCATTTATGCATTCCATTACAGAACATCACTTTGCTCTTTCTTTCACTGCTAATATACCTATGTTACAGATTTCTGGGGRCACGAGGCTAAATACTGCTAATTGGCAGCCCACAAGGAAATGCAGGTTTCTCTGACACGGTTATTTGCATTGATTGCTAGAACTCCCAGATTGGACTAGAATGAAATGAAAATTAATATCCAGATTATAATTTGCCTGAAAATAACATTAAAGGATAAGCAATATTCTTCTAAAGTCTATATTCCCCATCTCTGGAGATTTCTATAGAAATCCACTGTTGGATGTGTGTGATAGGCACCTCTTATTACTGCAAACATGGGCTCAGTGGGCTGGACAGGAACAACATCTCAGAGAAAACCAGTACACAATGCTATAGTTTTGTAACAAAAATACGTATTTTCATATGGCAGAGAGGGGCAGTTCACCCTCCTCAGAACTACCTTAGGAGGACAAATTAAACTCCACAGGCCAAAAATAAACCAAAAAAACCCAAAAGCCATTATTTATTTTGGTCATTCAGTCAGAGGTAAAACCTCCCCTTTCCGCACAGAGGAGTCATCCACAAGAGCAGTGTGGTGGTGGTTGCCCAAAGCCCAGCGGAGGTGCAGAAGTACCTAGTGGCACCACTCATCTCACATGAGCCACTTTAGACACTCATTCCAAATATTCTGCAGGAAAAGTGCTCTGCTCTTCTTTCCGCCCCCAGTTAATGGGAAACTGGCACCAGCTGCCGGTCTCCTTGGGATTTATCCTCTTGCCTTACCTTGGTGACTCAGGGGAGGGACACAGACACATGTGTCAAGGTTTCTGGCTGCAGCCTGCTGCTGGAACTACTGTTTACAGTGATACTAGTGCATCCTGAGGAAACACACGCTGTCRCTCCCTGGGAAGGCTGGAGGAGGGAGGCCCCAGTGAGCATTAACACTGTGACACAACAGCCCGAGTTTTGCTGGGCCATCATTACGAAGGTCAGATTCATTTTCAGCTAAAGACAAAATGTTACTGTTTGGAGCAAAGCCGCCTGCAATCGAAYGATCACACCGAGAGCCTAGCTGAAAAAAAATTAAGCCGTTCCAGACTTATTTCTGCTCCTCTTGTCTCTCCGCCAACCCAAAGGTCCTTGAATTCTCCCAGACACAGTGAAATATCGTAATTTTTATTTCGGTGTTGCYCTGGGATCATTGTGGAAGGTGTGGAAAAATAATTTGCAAGGGACTKTTAAAGAAACGGGAACAAAGAGAGCAGCTCTGCTGCAGGGGAACTGCTTTTGGAAAGGCAAGTAGCTGGAGCAGCTCTTGACACTTCAAAGACAGAGGCTTCAAATATGAGGGAAGTCGGAAGAAGGGGCTCGCGGCGGCACAAATCCCAGCCCGAGGAGGTCTGCCCAAACCCGCCTCTGCACCGCAGCTCCCCGTGTCATTTACTGTTACTGCCTTTCCCATCTCAGCACTTACTTTTTTTTACTGTGTTCTTCAYTTATATAATTAGTCAATCAACATCAACACCTAGTAGATAAATGGAACMACGTCGCCGGGGCCATTACTCCACCTACCGCCCCTCCGATTTGATTATGGAATGCCAACCATGTCGTTCAATGCTGACAGCTTCTCAGGTAACTTTATGCAACCTTAGCTCTAAATGAAGAGCGCAACAACACCAAACTTGCTCAGGAATACACTGGAGCTTTAAMCAAAGCTTACAAGATTGGTCTGCTGTTTAAATAATAAAGAGCAGTCTGCAGCAAAACTTTGAACAACTTAAAAGCAAAAGCTTCTCTGCTAAGATCAACCAGCTAAAATTTTATGCTACACCTATTAAATTTCAAATCAAATATTTTACAGTTATGACTACTCTTTTTACAAGTGGCCGTATTTCTGAAAATAAGCTCAAAGAAGCTTTGGAAACACTCCTTCACGGGTAGCCTGTTTTCTAATTCCTTCCCAAGGTTCTTCCCGATCTCTCTGATGCCATCGCTACCGGTGGCAGGACACAGGACTCCATGGAGCAGCAATCTCACACAGAAACTGTTGCCGCATGTTTCTGTGTCCCTCCCTCAGTACCAGATATCCCTATTAATTTAGCTTCAAACTCATAAAATCAGAAATAAGTGGACCATACCAGAAAAAAAGAAGTCAAAGGCAATCAATTCAAAACCTGGAATTCATCTATTTTAGCAAGATATAATGCAGGCATTACATGTATGTGTGAAATAGATATTTTTACAGAAAAGCCTTTAGTGCCTCAAAGATAGAGGCCAATGAGCAATGACCCCTTGTCCAGATTGCAACTTTCTTCATTCACTAAATACTAACTTTCCAGGATGTTTTTAAGAATATAAGCCAGACTTACGGCTCCCCAGCAAATTATGATATGCATTAGTATCAGCTAAAATGTGGTACACTTGCAGAAAAGTAAATTATCAGTTAGAATTAGAGATATACCCAGAGCTACATCACATAGCTGTTTTCTTCTTTATAGGCTGAGTAGAGGAATTGGAAAAACATAAATGAGAACTACACACTATTGATAGGCTTGATATCACTTTTGCTGCATTTGCCTGAATTTTACAATTCATGTATTCTACTGTATTTTTAGAATGCATATATACTGCAAAAAGATGGCTAAGCTTTTTACTATCTTCTTCATATAAACGAGAAGCAAAATTTACATCCTTATGTGGGGAAAAATAATAGGACCTAATGAGTATGCAATACAAAATCAACTTTAATCACATCTTTTCAGATAGAATATTACCGAACAGTCTGAAAAGGCTTCAAACACTCCATTATTCCTGCTTTGACCTGAGGCAAAGCAAAGCCCTGACAACACATTAAGGGCTCTATTCAAGACTAAACGGGCTATGCCTGTATTATGCAATTTACAGGAGAGTTAAACAATGCTGAATATACCTGATTCAAAAATAATAAAAAAAAAAGGTATTATTTTCAGAAGCTCAGCAGAGCTTTGGCGTAAGCGGCAATGCACAAAGAATCACCTTGTTTAACTGGCTATGTACAAACATGTGAACATCTAAGCTTACTATATAGAAACACATATTATGCATCCTTTGCTAAAACCAGAGTTGCTTCCATACTACTAAGCTCCTGGTTCCAGCCTAAAAGGGAAACTCTATCCAGTCAGAGGACTTCACGTTGGGATATTCCATGCTCCGGGACTGAAGGGAAAACAGAAGGATTTTATATGAGGGATAAAAAAAAAAGAAATAACAGAACAGAAAAAAAAAAAGTCTGCCTAAACATCTTCTCATGTTCTTTCTTTAAGCAGTAAGATATAAGGATGGCTTAAACGCTTGACATCCAGTYGATTACACATAGTGATAAAATTCTCAGCTAAACTAAATGCAAACTGACTTCAACCATCCTTTGAACTACTGACCTGAACCCATCCAGGTGTTTTCTCCCCCATATATATATTTACCTTCTTCATCTTCAAGAGCAAAGCTAGCTGAACCAGTGAAATACCAGGAGAAAAGGAGTTTCAGCAGAGCTTTAGGTCTGACCAGCAACAGTGTCAGAAATATGCAATTGCAAGATCAAAGCAGTCTGCAGAGTCAGTGGGAGTTCAATTAACAGGGCATTGTTCAAAGATCGACTGTACTGAGAAATGTCTGCATGCACAATCACTGTTTGTCCTCATCCTTTCAACTATTCACTTTAAGGGAAGAGATATAAAGGAGGCAAACACTGCAATACATTATAATTAAGTGGCAAGTCAGTGCTTGTCTGCTTCGGCATTCAGTTAGCTTGAATTTATACACTTTATTGTCCCTTGCTGATGTATGGAGCAGTATCCTGGGTTATTTATAAAACATAAATTGCTGCCACATTACTAATATTATAAGTAAAAACTGACTTCACACTATTTCATTTCATTTTATTATATAGTTTTTCTTAAATAAAAAAAAAGGGGGTATGTCTTCATCACAGAGCAGTGCAGAGATACCTGAGCTACCTTGAAACAGATTAGCTGAGTTACTTGCAAACAGCCTGATTAGGCCAGCACAGAGCTTAGCAGGAGACAACTGAAGCTGTTTTTCACCACGGGAAATAAGGAAGCCCTGGATGGGAGGCTGGGCTGCCCTGGTGCTTGAGCTAGCTTGTTTTAAGCTGGTTTGTGCACCTCTGCTGTAGAGGTGTAGCCTCCTCTATGAGTGCAGCATATTCACTGACATATCTTTTAAAGAAATATAGTTTATCTTTTATTAGAYCCTCTCTTATTTATTAGCAGGACTATTATAAAGAAATAGCTATTAAAGGGTCTGCTAAGTAGCCTATAGTAGAGTATGGGTTGATCTATTATATCTTAGAGATGTCTTTCTGTTAATAACATCAAAAGCTGCTGAAAATCTCCATGAGAGAAGCCCAGCCCAGGTTTGCCAGTCAGGTATTCAGAACGGTATCACACTGGCTGCCATTCGTCCCAAGTATTCAAAGAGCTTCAACAAATAAAGTAGTGGTAACAGCTTGGCAAACCATTTAAGCTGGCTCCCTACCATCCACAAGGCAACATTAACAGCAGCTTGGTTTGATTTTTCATCTGTCTTTTGTAAAATAGGTTAGAGAATGAAAAGATTCAGAGTTATACTAATTAAATATATATATATATATATATATTTAAATTCTGTCCTAGTCTTTCTCATAAAGAATTTGCAGGAATGTACCTGAATAACTTCATAAATCCAGCACACATTCCAAACAGGCTAATGTAAATAATATGAATATCTTTATCTAGTATGCTTGAAATGTGTGATTATGACCTGCATATTTCTCTGATGGAAAATTCAGCCTTGGCCTAGGTAGCAGCTTCTCATTTTCACCTGGCTGAATTTTAGAAGGCCTGGAAATCTTTCTCTTAACAATTAATTCAGTTAGAAGAAAACCAAAACAAGAACAAGTAGATGTGTCTTACCTAAAGACTGGTAAAGCTCAGTCATTTTGGGATGATCCCAGCAGGTGGTTTGCGTCTCATGGCTACAATATAAAACAGAAAAGTTAGTAAAACAAAACCCTGCATTTTCTCTTGACATTGCACAAGGAGTAGGCCAAGGTCCATACCACCATTCTGTCCCAGGCTGCCCCTGAAGCCTGGGCTGCTGAAGGACAGAGTCTCATCAGTGGCAGAAACGCCTTCTTTCATACAACCATTCACACAATGGTTATTTTGTACCATTACTTTAAGGCATCGGGCTCCAAAAGCCCATGATCAAAAGGGCTGATAAACTTTTAAGTACTGTAAGTATTTAGCTATGCAATAATGTTCAGGAGAATTTGTAATCAGTTATACTCCATATAACCCATTATTTTTTTWAAAAGTCTTATGTTTCATTTGGATCATCCCCTGATTCCTCCATATCAGAGGACGAATGTTTAAAATCTTCTTAGCTGTTCTCAGCAATTTAAAGACTGTTCTGTCCGGGCACTGATGTCCATCACCTTTTGACACGTTTTACTTCGAACGCTTCCAGCTCTTTCGGGAGTGTTGCATAAAAGCCACCAAACGCTACGACTGCAGCCACTGCTTCCCTTCCAACCACCTGTGCAAGATGTGCACGCAACGGTCCCCTGAACCGCTGCCCCGGCCTGCGTTCGGGCCGGTGGGCTGCACCCCACATAGAGACAGTCTCTGCCTATGCAAGACTAAACGCTGCACTTAACTGGTTCCTGGGAGTCCTTTCCCAGGCCCTAAAGGTCCCTGTTAAGTTTCGGGAGGCAGAACTGTTGGGAAGCCAGGAAAAACCTTCACCGGGGTTATGAAACTCTGCAGTGTGACTAGAATGCAAATGGGACAAGCTCTGCATTGAAGCTAGCAGCCTTTGGTTTGCAGCAAAACATGTTGCCAAAAGACACGCAGAGCGTGAGAAAGTCAACGAAATAAAGTGGCAGTGTAAGAAAAACTCATGTCRCCAAAGTTTACACATTTCTTGTTTGTTTATTTTTTTCTTTTTACGACAATACACAGAGTGCGATAGGGCTTCCATCAGCATGGAAAGCTTACAAAGAAAAGGCTAAATTATTTATCTGCTCACTATGCCCAGTTCTGGCTAAACACTACTTAGCTGTCTGAGAAGATGACTATGTGAATTGTTCAAGATCAAACTCTGACAGGTACGTGGTGGCTGGCCATGTCATTCGCAGTCGCTGCACCTAACAAGCAGACGGGCTGCTGCTCCCAACGCACACCCGTTATTTGGAAGAAAACACAAGAGAGAGCAGGGCCTGCCCGGAGTCACTGGAGGAAACTCCTTGCAGCTCCGGGGGGCTCTTAACGCACAACCCGGGGGCAAACTGCAAGCCCTGCACTACAAGCTGCGCACTAGCGAACAGGCTAACGACCTTGAATCACCGAACGGCTGAGGTTGGAAGGGACCTCTGGAGACCATCCAGTCCAACCCCCTGCTCCAGCAGGGACACCCAGAGCAYGGGGCACAGGCGGGGCTGGAAGATCTCCAGAGAAGGAGACTCCACAGCCTCCCTGGGCTGCTCTTCTTGAGGCAGAGTGCTCCCCTGCGCGGCCCTGCAGGTGCCACCTGGGCTGGAAAGGGTGACGCTTTCAACAAAACACACACTTCAGCATGACCACTGCTAAAGGAGAAGTCATGATGTGTTTCTCACTGTGATTTAATCTTCTTCTACAAGACTGGCTATTCCCTTGATCCCAGCAAGCACTTTATCGATATATTCGGGAGGTTACTGTGAGCAATGATTTCCAGGTTTCGCTCCGTAACTGCCATAAAGAATGAAATTCTTTCTTGCATCACAGGCAATGAGCTTAAGGAAAACTGCAGGCACAGTGTGGCTCCAGCTGGACAAAAAAAAAGGATTAAAAAAAAAAGAAATCTTCTCAACCTCAGCATCTGCTCTTCCTAATTACGGTGGCTAAAAATAGAAAAAGAAGGAGAAGGCCCCTGGAACACCTGAGATAGCCTTGCTCTTTGCACTGGTAAAAATGAGCAGTGCAATGGGAGGAGGCTGCAGTCACATTAAGGAAACAGATTTGTCTGATTTTCAAATGCAAAAATTTGGTAGCTTAAAGTGAAAACCTGTTTATCCAACTCAACTGCATCTGASTGAGATTTTTTTTTTTACCATGTTTGGTATACGGGGAGGTTCTACAGCTTTTAACACATCCACTTAAAATGCATTTTAGAGGTGAAACAGAAGCAGCTCCCATTTCTACACCGATGCCATAAAATTTTGGCCAGCATAAGCCTCTGCTTGTATAGCAGCGGCCTGAAGGAGAAGAGGAAGAGAGAGAGAGTATTTACTGCCCAAGAACTGCCCAGAGAGGCCGTGTGAGCCAGTCAGGCCAAGGCACTGCAGCACCCACTGACTGAGCGGCCGCAGTTGGTCGGCACCCAACTCAGTCCCCATCAGCAGCGCCCAGGGCTCGAGCCGGGCACCCCTGGCTGGGTTCCCTGCGGGCACGGAGCCCCCGGGCGGGCCCCGAACAGGGGGAAAAGCATCCAGAATTTGACAAATAGGTTTGTCAAACTGGAGGCTGAGGTGGAAGCAGGTGAAAGAAATTGAAGAATTTTGCCCATCATTTTCCCCGCATCTACTATCTAAAATGCTGTGAAGTACTTGGGAGATACTTGCATAGCGATGGTACCAGTGAATCTTACGCCAAATCTTAAAGTAAAAAATGGAAGGAAAAAAAATAAAAAACACAAGCCCTTATGCACAGACTTACAAGAAGTCTCTGAAAATTCCTGCTTATATTTTCCCTGTGGAATTAGTTAGGAAGTCTCACATTGGTCTACGGATAAACTATATCACTTTAGACTCCATAGCTGTAAATCTGGTAGCTTCCAAATTCCTCCCCAAAATGTTGCAAAGCCATCGGGTATCCGGCAAAGGAGCTGGAAGCAAATATGCACGGAGAATTCTAGAATCACGTGCCTGCAGGGAAGAACAAAAGCCCCGCTTTAGAAGCCRAGAGCTGCTGCGTTTAATCACTCCTCAACGTTACACGGGAGATCATGTTTGTATTGACTTTTTTTTCATATATACTAAGGCCTAACCATGTATCAGTGAATTTTGGTGTGTATGGATTAAGTTTATGGCATTTATTAATCAGCTGGAAGATACTTTAAAAAAAAAAAAGAAAAAATCACTGCCAGAGAAATACTGGCTTTCAATTGCTTTTGTAAATTTTTAATGTAAATAATCCCAGCTAGCCTGTGTGCTCTTCTTGATGTATATAAAACTAATTCCCTCAAAAATACACCACCTTCCGTTAGGGGCTGCTCTTCTCACTTCATCTACAGGTCACAAAGATGGAGTTTGCAGGGCAGCTACATTTCCCCCTCTCTTCCCCCCTCCGCTTTTTTTCTAAGCTTAGTTCCAAGCTACAGGAAACACATCTTTGCTTAGGGTAAAAACATGCRAGTTAGTGAACAGCCCAACTCCTAACCTCTGCCACCTTCCAAGCAATGACCTGCGCTGGGGCAGAAAAGCCTCTGCGAGGTTTTTATAACGATTTTGTGGCAATTCAGCACAGATGACTGACCCTCGCAGCGGAGGAGAGGGACTCGAGGGGCCTGCAAGCAAGGCAGGGTTTGAAAGAGACGACCTGGGGCGGCTGGGGGCCCGCCAGGGCTGGGCGCCCACGCGACGGGGGCAGATGGGGCTGGTACTTGGCATGCAGCACACACGGAGGCTGCAGCTACTCGGCTCCAGCTGGAACGCGCTCGCCTCTTAACTGAACACTCGTAGCTCCCAAAGTTATCAACAATTCCGCACACAAGTGCAGCTCAAGGAAAGGTCAGATCCCATCGAGACTGTTCTTCCTAAGCCTCTTTGCCATTTTCAAAGGCCATTTAATTGCGAGCTTTGGGGCTGGCCTGCTGGGGGAGGATTTGTGTGGATGCCCTTATTGTGAACAGCCTCTAAAGCGGAATGCCAGCTCAGCAGTTGCAGGGGCCTCGGCCACGCTCGGCAACGCCGGGGCATCCCGAGCGGCCGTGCAGCAAAGCGCCTGCCGGGCCGCAGGCTCCGGCGAGCGAGGCCCAGCGGAGGCTGCAAGGCCCGGAGCAGCACCCGGAGCAGCACCCGGAGCAGCGCCCGGAGCAGCGCCCGGAGCAGCGCTGTGCGAGGCTCCCCGGCCGGCAGCCCTCTGCGGAGGCTGCAAACGCGCACACGGGGAGGTACTCGAGATGCCTTTGCGAGGAGCTGCCCACATGCAAAGACATTAATGTGCACGCTCAGGATTTTTTTGCAATACTGCACAAGCTCACGGGACACATTTTTCCATTTGTTTCTTCATTTAGGACAATTAATTAATGAGCTTTCAAATCACAGAGTTTTTGCAACAACAAGATACAAGTGTGCTCAGGTGGCTTGTCTTCCTCTTTCTCACCTGCCTGATAAAGATGTGGAAGTAGAAAGGAAAGTTAAACGAGGTCTGAAGTGGAGCACAGCAGCAGCGGGTAACGGTGACACGCGCGTGCTGCTGCCACTGGGGCACTAAAGACACCGAAAATGCCGTGGGGTGAATGCATCGTCTTYGCTTCCTATCTGCCCTCCGGGAGCTGCAGGAGCACCTCATTAAGGGATAACCATGCTGCATTTGCAAGGGTAATTTCTATGTGGGGAATTCTGCTGCACGAYGCCCGCGCAAATTCCCCCGCTCCTGCCGGAAGCTGCGGGATTTGTCCCTCACCCTTGCTGCTACAGCTAATAACATACAGGACTGAAAACCTCAACTCGGGGGATGATATTCTAAGTGACACACTAACCAAACCACATTTCCCTTTTGTAACTTCAACTCTTTGGACAAAAGRTGCTTATTTTCCCCTTCCTGCATTTGATATTGCCTTTGAGCAATACCCGCAGCAGGAAGAACAGAGAATTCCCCCTGTCCACGTCCCCCATCCTAATACATTCCTGCACACATCAAACCGAAACATTCACAAACCTTTTTAATCTCTCTTGATCTTACCTGTTCTCCCCCTTTCTGTATATAAGATTCA